GAGGGAGGGAGGGAGGGAGGAAGGAAGGAAGGAAGAAGGAAGGAGGGAAAACATGAATTGTAAAAAGGAGAACACAGGTTGCTATCGGCTGAATTGTGTCCCATCAGAATTCTTGTGTTGAAGCCCTAATCCCCAGTGTGACTGTATTAGGAGACAGGGTCTTTAGTAGGTAATTAAGGTTAAATGAGGTCATAAGGGAGGGGCCCTGATCCAAACGGACTAGTGTCCTTATCTGAAGTAGGAGAGAGACCAGAGCTCTCTCTCCACCATGAGTGGACACGGTGAGAAGGTGGCCGTCTGCAAGCTAGGAGGAGAGCCCTCATCAGAAACCAGATTGGCCAGCACACTGATCTTGGACTTCCCAGCCTCCAGAACTATGAGAAATCAATTTCTGTCGTTGAAGCCACCCAGTCTGTGGTCTTTTGTTATGGCAGCCTGAGCTGACTGATCCATGGGATATCACTAAACCTCTTCTGAGATGTATGTGAGGTTGGTTCTATTTTTGTAACACCCGGGCAGTCTGAACAGCTAGGACCTCGAAGTGAATTAATAATAATAGTGATAGGAATCCTTTACTGAGTGTTTGCAACGGACCCGACACTAAGGGCTTCCCTGCATTAGCTCATCTCCTCCTCACACCCACCCAATGATGATGTAGTTCTATTCCCCCATTTACAGATGAAGAAACAGAGGCCCAGAGAGGTTAAGCGGCTCATACAAGGTCACTGCACTGTGCCCAAGCTGGAGCACAACCCAGGTCTCTGTGCATGGGAACAGCACTTACTGGCAACCCAGGAGGACCTCCGTCCCCTCACCGTGCAGGACCAAGTGACCTCTAGCCCTGGCCCATTTGGAATCTAGGACCCGCTTTCCTTCCTAAGACCCTCAATCACCCCCCTAACCCCTCCCTATTTGCTTAGAATACATTGAAGAGATTGATTCCCTTAGCGTATGGCCTTTGTCCCTATGTTGCCTTGTCCCCAACCTCATCATCTTCCAATGACAGCCATCGCCACCTAACTCATCTCCTGCTTTCCTTCTATGTCCTCCTGTCACGCACTTGCCAGACAGCAGCTAGGCTCACCTCTTAAAAACACAAACCAGATCACATTATATCCCTGCTTAAAACGCTCCACTGACATCCCATGAAACTTGGAATCACATCTCAACTCCTGACCTTGACTTACAAAGCTCTATGTGATTGGTTATGCCCACCGCTCGCTCCCTCTGCCCCAGAAGCCTTCATTCGTTCCTTGAACATGTCCAGCTCATTTCTGCCTCAGGGCCTTGGTGCCTGCTGGTCCCTCTGCCTGCAACACTCCTCCACCTGGATCTTCCTGGGGCTGGCTCCTGCTTGGGGTCAGGTCTGAGCTCACAGAGACTCAACTTGAGCACCTTGTTTTAATTCACTACAGAGCCCTAGGTCTACTTAACCATTATTTTATACTTGTTTATTGTCTGTCTTCTCCTACCCCTAGAAAACAGTCTCCGTGAGAGCAAGGACTTTATCTTGTTCATGGGTATCGCCAGAACCTGGAACAGGGCCTGTACACAGTAGACCCTCTACTGTTTGCATAATGAGTGAATGAATGACACAGTCTTCTCAAGGATGGATGAAGATAACCCCCCCAAATGCCCATCGTTCAGCTGTGGCCCTAACTGGCACGCTCCCCTCCCACTCTCACCCAAGAACAAGTCCCCTCAGAAACTCAGAGGGCTCCTTATCTCACCATCCAAGCCAGGACCAAGTCTTCAGCCTGCTGTGAAATAAGAACATTTTCAAATGGAAATGTCCTCCCGAAAAGCCATGGGGTGGGGGTGGTGAGAGTATCTGGAAGAGCATTCCCCCACCCCACATCCACTGAGGTTCTCCCCTGGGACTCCCACTGTTGCCTAGGAAACAGCTCTGCAAGGAGCAGCGGGCATTAACCCTTCAGCAACCAGGGGCAGCAGCCTGCCTCTGCGGCAGAGGCCCCAAACTTTTCCAGGGAAAGGAGACAAGGCTCTGACAGCCTCTTCATGGTCCCGCAAACCCGGACATTTATAGTAGTCACGGAGTTGAGGGGCAGAAGGAGGAAACAGGCTGTTGGGCCTCATTCTCCCAGGCAGAAGTCACATACTAGAACCCCACCTGCCCAGGTGCTGGGAGCCAGACATTCCTGAGTCCCTGTGCCCAGTACCTCGTTGGTATCTATCTAGTCTAGGCCTATGGAGGCTTGCGGAGGAGTGGCACCGAAGTGCCCACCCCCTCCCTGACCCTCAGGCCCCTCCCACACCTCCACTGTTCTCTCACCAGTTAATCCACATTCCTCAGCCCAGTTCACCACATGCGACAGAACAGGGGAAAAGGGACCTTAGCTGAAATCCTGGCTTTCCCATCTATTCATTTGGTACATTAACTTCTTGGCACCTTGGTTCTCTGATCCAGATTTGGAACATCACTGAAAATGCCCTTGTCAAGGCTGCCAATGGCCTCTGCTGCCAAGTCCATGTTTACTTCTTTGACGTTCCCATATTTTACAGTCCTCTCAACTCTTAACGCCCCACCCCACCCTCAGTCTTCTATTCCCTGTTAATTCTTTCCAGAATTTATTTCTTCCTGAAATCTTCTTATCTATTACTTGTTTACTTTATTTATTTACTCTACTATTTACTATTACTTATTGACTATTACATTACTTTTTTTTGGTTCCCTCAAGAGAGAAAGTTCTTTCTCTGCCTTGTTCACCAAAATAACTCCAGGCTTAAAATAATGACTAGCACATGGAAGCTACTTGAGAATGGGTTCTAGTAAAACTAGAGTGAAAAACAAAAAAAGAAAAACACATGGTGTCTTGGGAACAGTGCTTCTAACCTAGGAGGGCAGTAAAGGGAAGTCCCATGATGAGCAGGAATAAGAGTCCGGAAGAGTTTCAGGCAGGGAAAGAAAAAGTAGGCTTCACGCAATAGAGAGTAAAATTCAGATGCTAAATAACTTTGAGGACTGGAAGGCACATTATTCTTTGGTCAATGAGAAAAGAAAGGCAATTAGAAACTCCAGGAAAAACAGAAAGTTATTTTCAGAAGTCTTGGACTCAATGTTAATATGTGGCATAATTTAGAACAGTCAGTGGAGTATAAGAAAAGGAGAAAATCCACTTGGCCTTGCTGCAAAGATCATTCTCATTTGAGTGGCCAGGGATCAGGAGAGCAGACCAATAGAAGAGGAAGTATAATCTTAGCAAACTGTTTGGCCCTGAGGAAAATTGTATTTATTTAATGACAACTAATAACATATCCTGAATACTTATATGCCAAACAAGGTTTTAAGAGCTTTGCATATAATATCTAATCCTCACAACTCTCTAAGGTACATATTATCATTATCCCTATTTTATAGATGAGGAAGGTGAGGCTTGACATAGTAAATAAGTTTTCTGAGGTCATACAGCTAGTGGAAGAGCTGAACTCACACCCAGGCCTGTGAGACCCAGAGGTCCACTCCCCAGAGCTGGCACTAGAAGCCTGGCCATTTGACCTTCAGGCCCCAATCCTTCTTGCCAAGAAGCATAGGATACCATGTGTGCACATATGTATGCACGAATGTACACACACACACACACACACACTCCTGGGAGCCAGGATGCAAAGCCACAGAGTAACAGGGCTGGTCCAGGCTGGGAAGCCAGAGCAGGGCCTTACCTTCCTGCAGTCTTTGCAGAACACCGATGAGCTGCCCAGGAAGCCCAGCGCCTCCCCACAGAGCAGACACTGGGAGAAGCCATTCCCCATCACATTGCGCCTCATGGTCTCCAGCCGCTCCACCAGCCGCCTGCAGCACAGGACACAGAGTCAGACGGCATGTGCTTCCTGTCTCCAACCAGACCCCTGCCCAGGCGCGGCTGCCACGGGGCCCCAATACTTTACCACTTCCTGGGGGTTGGTTCCCTCACCTGGGGTACTGTTCCCTGCCCCATCCCTTCCCCTGGCTAACTCCTAATCATTCACTCACTCACCAACCATTAACTGGACACCTACAACATGCCAGACACTGGAAATATTGTAGCAAACAAGCCAGAGATGGACACGGTCCCTGTTCTTATGGAATTTATGTTCAAAAAAGGGAGAAAGTCCATAAACAAGCAAACTGACTTCAGAGGGGGGAGTGTTATGAAATAAAATAAGTGGGGCTGGGAGGGAGCAGGGCATGTTAGATGGTGATTAGTGAAGGCCTCTCTGAGGACATCTGAACTGAGAGGCAAAGGATGACAAGGACCAAACATGGGAACAGCTGGGGGCGCATCCCAGGCAGAGGGAACAGCAAGTACAAAGAGCAAGGCCCTGGCGCATTCGAATGGTAAGGAGGCCAGGGGGGCTAGACTGCCTGGGACAAAGGAGGCTGGAGGGGCGACGGGGGGCCAGATTACATGGGGTTTGTAGGTTGGATTTGGTTTTGGAGGTTTGGATTGTTTTCTAAGATCAGCGCGAACCCACTGAAGAATTTTAAGCAGAGCAGTGATCTGATCTAAGTGACGTTTCTAAAAGCTCCCTCCAGCTGCTGTGGGAAGCTGGGATTACAGGGGGAGTCTGGTGAGGAAGCCGGCAGGAGGCGGCGGGAGGGCTGGGGAAGGAGGACGGAGAGCAGGACGGGCTGTATTTCAGAGTCATCGTGGATGGATTTGGGGAAGGAGAGGTAAGAGACAGACCCAGGATGGAGTAGAGGCTTTTGGCTTACGCACCTGGGTGGACGGAGAAGCTAGAGGGAGAAAGAGAAAGAGGTCCTCTTCGAACCCCGCTGAGCCCAGGGTAGGTGCCTTTCCTTGGGTCCCACGGCTCCTCAGCCCACCGTGACCCCTGTTTCATGACAACCTGTCATACGACACTGCCACGCCCGCAACACGCGGCCACTTCTGCTTCTGTTTCGTTGGCCGCTGTGTCTCCAGTGCCCAGTGGATTCCCAGTGAAAATTCTTGAATGCATGGAAGACGGGGTGTGGGTACGTTATGTCCTGTAACTCTCACAACCGCCCAGCACAGAGGATGCTGTTTCCTCCCCCCCGCACTTTAAAGGTGAGAAGATTGAGGCTCCGAGATGTGAAGTCACTTGCCAGCGTTGCACAGCTCCTCAGAGGTAGAGCCAGGGCCACACTCAGGCCACCCCAAGTCTCATGACAACTCCACCCTCTCCCCTGGGGTGATCGGGCCCTGCCTGGGGGCCGACGGAGGGCGGACTGGGCGCCGAGGCTGCCTCTGCCCACCTGCCCTCCGGCTGGCACTCCTGACTCCCATGGGATCGCCGTCCCTCTTTCAGGGGCCTGCAGGGTCCCGGGAGCAAAGCCGGGTTCGGCCCTGGCCTGACCCACTTGTTTCTGGGGGACCCCCTCTCCGTACACAGGGAGCCCTGTGACTCCCACTCATGGAAACACACAGGATGCACCTCCTCCCTCTGAGATGATTAACTGCCTCCTGGGCCATTCCCGCCCCAGCCAAACCCAGCGCTCACAGCCAGGGCCAGACGATGTGAGCGGCACAGGGAAGGCAAAGATGACAGCCCAGGTGGATGGGCCGGGGGGGCGGTGGGGGGTGGGGGTGGGGGTGGGCAGCAGTAAGGAGAGATGGGGGGGAAGGGGGAGGGGAAGGCCAGGGCTTCTTTGGGTGAAGATTTAGAGAGCCTCTTGAAGGGGTCATTAGCTCTTCATAAATCACTAATAATTGCATGAATATTTAAATCTTAATAAAAAAAAATACAGTAGGCCCAGTGAGTTTCCCTGTGTGGGTATTTATTGCTATCAGTCTGGAATATGTAAAAGTTGGTATTGGTCTCATTGAACTGCTGTCATCGCCACAGCTAAATGGGTAATTGGGAGTGAGAGACGCTATCAGCAGATATAAATTACATACAGAAAACTGAGGGCATTAACTGGGGGTTTATTATCAATTATCTCTGTGCTTGTTCCCCTTAAAACGAACTTTAAGAATATTAATGAGAAAATTTACAGGTCTTAATGAATTGAGGGAAGCGAGTGGGTGCAGAGGGCCCCCATTTCGGCCCCCGCATGGTGCTCTCTCTGGGACCCTCTGGCTCTCTCTGGAATAGTGGCCTGTTCCTAGGGGGCGGTCGTCCCCCCAGGGGAGGCCCTGGAAGGAGGGCTCTTGGGTCAGCCTGCCAGGTCACAGACACCTGCCTTCCTGCTGGGACCAGCGGGGAGAGCAGCTCAGTCCCCGAGGCCGGCCCTGTCTCTCTCCAAACCCCCATCCCAGAGAGGGGCGCTGGGTGGGAATGGGGTGGCTTCATCCAGGCAGCCTTTCTTCCAACAAAGACCCCGCCAGGGCCTGATCCTGGCTGTTGGATGCGGAGAATCAGCTGGGGGCTGACTTCAGCTGGATATGGATGAGGCAGACCTTCATCTGCCCCCAAACCAGGACGTGGGCGTCGCCACCAGTGCAACCCAAATGGAGTGTGAGGGGGTGGGAGGCCGAGAGGGAATGTGAGCCCCTGTGGATGCTCCGCGGGCAGAGTAGGGGGTGGGGGTGGGGGGTGGGGCGCAAACGCTTCCCACAGCTGCAGGGAGCCCACGGGGGACACCCCTCACCAGCTCCCAGCACACCCTCCTGGGGGAGCCCGAGGGATGTGGTGCTGGCCCATCAGTCATCGGCACAGGCACCTCGGAGACCTGCAGAGCCTTGCAGGACCCTTGGGCTAGGCCTGAGAGAGGGAGGGGCCCCAGCCAGGTGTGGTGGGGAGAAAAGAGCAAAAGACAATTAATCTGTCAGATACAAACCCTTTTCGTAATGAAATGGTAGTAATATGTCAGTATTAAGGAGGCACAGACAACAAACTGTTTGGACAGCAGTGGTCTTTGTAGTGGTGCTTTCACTTTCTAGAACTGTGCATTTCTACAATGTCTGACTTTTTAAAAATGATCATCTATTCAATAGAAAAAGATAAATAGAAAAAGAACAAGGAGACCAGAATCAAATTAATTCCTGCCAGTGCCCTGCATTTATGTTTTCCTCCTTGCGCCTGCCTGTGTTTTTCAGATTGTCTAGGAAGTATGAATTGCTTTTGTAATTAAACAACAAAAAAAGACTCAACAAAACTGAAGACTATGTAGGAGACAGCTCTGGATGCCGGAGGCCGGAAGAGCTTAGAACAAGCTGGAGAGCGGCTCCTGTTGGTCTTTGAAGGGAGAACCCACAGTTCAGCCTCCACGACAATCCCTCCCCTGGCTGAACCACAGCGACCCTCCTTTGTGCAGAGCTAAACAGACCTTAACGTGTTTGATGGCACTCATTCATCCTCCCCACAGCTTGGGGCCCATACATCAGCCACTATCCCCATCTTACAGAGGGGTATACTGAGGCTTGGACAGGCTGGGTTAGGAATCTGCACACCAGGGGTGTTCAGGCAGAGCTGACTCACTCCCAGTGAAAAGCCGGAACTAGGAGCCAGGGCGCCAGACGCCCAGCTCACTGATCTGGCACTAAATGCCCTTGCTTCCCTCTTCACGGCCTCACTCCTGCCCCATCTTGGGAGCAGCCCTTACCCGATTCTCTGCTGTTCCAGGACGTCAAGCCGCTCGGCCCTCTGGATGACCTGCAGGATGGCCTCCACCTCGGCTGGGCTGAGGCACTGGCTCTTCCTCTGCTTCTCTGTCTGGTAGGTGTGCACAGACCAGCCTGTCTGCAGCCTTGAGAGAGAACAACACAGAATTGCAACCCCAGTGCAAACTGGCATCCCCGCCACATCCACGAAGATCCCCTGAGCACAGTCTGTGTGTCAGGGGCAAGGGGTTCAGACACCAGCCTCCAAACGCTGCCTCTGCCACCCGCCAGCTCCCGGGTCCCACAAAGATAGCAGCACCCCCTTAGCACCTCGGGGGGGTTGGGGGGAGACAGGAGCGTGGAATGCATAGAAGGCCATGGCCACAGCATGAGCGGTTTCAAGGGAACAGCACAGAAGATGACCAAGAGAAGAATGAACACCCGGATCTGAGTTGTACAAGAAAGTGAGATGGAGTTTACTATGGGACAGGAAAGACCTGGTAATTAGGTTAAAAACAAGTGCTGAGGATAAAAGGATATTCACGCAGCATTCTGAAAACTAGAGGGATCCAGGGCAGGAGGTTACCCTGGAGGAGCAGTGAGGGCCTGCCAGCGTGGCGAGGCGGGGCTGGGGCCCGGCCCAGACCCCCAGGACTGAGGGGAAGAACTCCAACCCTTTCTATTTTTCTGGATGGTGAGAGTGGCAGCAGTGGACCAAGCCCCAACTCCCTGCCCTGGGGCCCAGCTTCTCCCAGACTTCCAGGTGGTGGGAACACAGAGACGGACAAGGTGGCAAGGTCACTGCCCTCCAGAGCTACAATATTCTGGGGTAGACGGATGCCCGATCAGTTACAAAAATATTTATTTACTGAAAAATTCGGAGAGCCATTAATTCAATATCTATTTATTGAGCATCCACTGTGATGCCAGGCTCGCTAGGTGCTGGGACGAGCCACTGGGCAGGCCAGGCGGGTGGTCGTGAGGAGGATGTACAAATAAGGGGAATTGACCCAGGCAGGGGAGCAGCTCTAGAAGGGCTCCCCTAAAGAAGTGGCAGCAGGCAAGAGATTGTGACACAGGATACAGGGCAGGAAGATGAGGGTGTGGATGCCTTCCTAGTGGTTCCCTGAAACGGATGGACACTGGTGGTCTCACATCACCACCCAGTCCAGCTCTTGCATCCAAGCACTGCCGACACTGTATAAGCTGGGAGAGCTAAAAAGCATGTCCTTTCTCTGTGAGTGGAGAGAAAGCCATCCCAGGCTGGTTAAGGTGAAGGACTCAGATTCTGAAGTCCAACGGGTGGTTTCATCTTATGGCTCTGTCTCTTCCCAGGTATGAGAACTTGGACAGCTACTCATCCTTGATTTCCTGATCTGTCTCTTTAAGGGATGCCAGGAAGATGAAATAAGGAGGGTATATAAAGTGCTCTGTACATAGCAGATGCCCAGTTGCTGAATAAGTGGCAGTTAGTGATGATTTTTATAATGATCATGGGTGAGACCATTAGGAACAGCTTAACCAAAGAGGTAGCATTTGTGCTGGGTTTTACAGGATGAATAGGAGCTCCCCCAATGGAAGCAGGGAGTTGGCATTCAGGCAAAGGGCACTGAACGTGCAAAGGCATGAAGGCATAAAGTAATGCGCTGCACTGGAGAGGTCCAGACTTCTAGACTGCCTATTTCTCCAATTAAAAAAAATGCCTTGGTACAAACTACTATGTATCAAATAAATAAGCTATAAGGATATAGTGTACAGCCCAGGGAATATAGCCAATAATTTTTACAATAACTTCAAATGGAGTATAATCTATAAAATATTGAATCACTATGTTGTACACCTGAAACTAATATAATACTGTAAATCGACTATACTACAATTTTAAAAAATACCTTGCCCTAGACTAATACTTTCTTAAGTGACCCTCACAGAGCTGAGGAAAGCAAAGAATGGGAACGGGGCAGGACTGGTGGGGACAGGAAGGGAGGTCAGGCCTTGGAATGGGCAGGGGTACACATTCACCTGTCCCTGGCTGCGGGGATTTGTAACACACTCCTTTAAGGAGCCTGGCATTACAAGGCAGCACACCCCAGGGAGGAGATAAAAGCATTTACTCTTCTAAAAGGTGCTACGGGCTTCCCTAGTGGCGCAGTGGTTAAGAATCCACCTGCCAATGCAGGGGACACGGGCTCGAGCCCTGGTCCGGGAACATCCCACAAGCCACGGAGCAACTAAGCACGTGCGCCACAACTACTGAGCCTGCGTACCGCAACTACTGAATCACTGAATCCCACGCACCTAGAGCCCGTCCTCCGCAACAAGAGAAGCCACTGCAATGAAAAGCCCGCACACCACAACAAAGAATAGCCCCCGCTCGCCGCAACTAGAGAAAGGCCACGCGCAGCAACAAAGACCCAACTCAGCCAAAAATAAATAAAAGGTGCTACAACAGCTTCTGGCTGCTGCTGAGCACAAGACCAGATCACAGAGAGCTAAAGGGAATGCCGGCGGGATCACCAGGGGTCACACTGGGCCCTCCTACAAGAGCACAGCTCTCGCCAGCTCCTCACATGCAGCCACGGAGGACGCATCATCTCGCCTGGTGTCAGAGGAGGGAGGGAGAGAGGACGGTTTCACCCCTAGTCTCTCCCCAACAGGGGCCACATGGGGGCTAAAAGAGCCGAGGCATCCCAGTGAGAGAGACAAATTAACTGTGGTGCAAAGAGTCCTGCAAATCACGCAGGACTCCACTCTTCTTGGGCATTTCAGATTAATTTTTCTATCCTCTTTTGATGTTTCAGCTCTGTCCCCTGCAGGCTCACAATGTTTAATTGCAAATTTCTTGAACTTGGTCCCAGCACGACTTGACAGATGAAGAGGCACTCTTGGGCTTATTTGACCCCAGGGACCCCCCAACTCCCTGTAGGGACAGGAAGAGACTGGAATGATGGAGAGGCATCTGGGAGCCCCTGGTCTCCAGCCACGGAGAGGGGCAGTGGGTGGAGATGGGCTGATCTAACTACAGCCGAGGGGTCACCAGGCTGAGAGATAACAGGAAAACTGGGGGCAAACCAGAACAAGAGAGACCCTGACACGAGCATGGCAGAGACCTGGGATGCTTCAAGGTTGGTTGTGTGTTTCAGCCCAGAGGGCAGCTCTTCATAAATTAGACAAGCCTTTGGTCTGTCAACTCAACTATGAAGTGGGGGCTCAACTATGAAGTGGGCATCCAGAGATCAAAGGCTCCCCGCTGCCAGGGACTCAGGGACTGAAGGCTCAGTGATGGGGGATTTATACTCTTAACAGAGAAGGTAAAGGAAGTGGCCTGGCTCCCTGGAGCCTATTGTGATTGAAAGAACATAGGTGTGGGGTCAGATGGACCCAGGGGAGTCCCAGCCCTGCCACTGACAAGGTGGGTGACTTGGGTGAGGACCTCAGCCTCACTGTCCTCATCTGAGAAATGGGAATACATTCCATGCGGCAGTTAAATGATTGAACGGCTGTTAGGCGCCCAGCTCAGCGCCAGGAGTGTGGTGTGTATTTGACGGGCACTTGTCTCCAAACTGTTCTTTCTGGGGGCCTGGGATTGAATCTTGTCAAAGAAGGGAGGGGAACTAGGAGGGGGGAGGGAAGGGAGGGCCCGGCCAAGCCCTAGAGGTACTCACTTGGCTCGCAGGGCAAGCTGCCGATCATTGGGGCAAACCCACTGATCATTCCCGCTGCCGAAGATGGTGTCGGCCATGACTTGGAACACCCAGCCAGGGTGTGGAGTCACATCTGAGGGAAGAAGAAAGAGCATGTCATTGGCTGGGGTACAGACGGCAGACAGGGTCCCTCAGACACCCAAAATCGGTACTTCCAACCTATCCCTGTCCGTTGCCGACCCCTGCCCCATCCCCACCCCGTCCCCGAGGATGTCTGGAATCTCACCAGCAGAATCACTCCTCCAGCTAAATGCTATTCCCTCAAAGCTCCCCTTTCAAAAGACTCGTGATTCTGGGAGGGGTAGCTAGGTGGATCACGCAGCTAAGAGACAAGGCTGGACTTGACTGGCAGGATGCCAAAGGGACAGAATCGGAAAGGAGAAAAGAGGCACAGCTCAGCAGTTTTCAACGTAGCGGGCAAGCCCCAAGGGCATTTGATCCCTGCACCCTCCAAGTACTACCCCTGCTTTACTTCATGGGGACCACGATGAAAATGGCCCCCTTGGGAATCCTGCAGGGAGGAGGCCCTGCTCCAGAGCTTGCTGGTGGCTTAACTTGTGCAGCCTAGCTTAGCTGGCTTTCTCCTTGCCACCAAGGATGTGTGTTGGTGGAGGAGTAAGGAGGGGAAGAGAGAGGGACGAGTTTGAGGGAATCCCCATCCCAGAGCAAAGACGAGGGGCAGTACTGAGTTATCCACACTCCCCTGGTCTAATCCCCTCCAGACCAGTGGTTCTCAAACACAGGACTCCTTTACACTCTTAAAAATCTCTGAGGTTGGAAATTAGTCTGGCAGTTCCTTAAATGTTACACAGAGTTACCATAAGACCCAGAAAGGACTCTGAGGTATAAACACAAGAGAACAGAAAACGTATGTCCACATATGAAATTGTACGTGAATATTCACAGCAGCATTATTCATAACAGCCAAAAAGTGGAATCAATTCAAATGTCCACTAACTGATGAATGGATAAAATGTGTACAATGGAATACTGTTTGGTCATAAAAGGGAATGGAGTGCTGACACAGGCTACACAACATGGATGAACCTTGAAAACACGCTAAGTGAAAGAAGCCAGTTACAAAAGACCACATAGTGTATGGTTCTATTTATATAAAATGTCCAGAATGGGCCGATCCATAGAGACAGAAAGTAGATTAGTGGTTGCCAGGGGCTGGAGGTGGAGGGGAGGGAGGAATGGGAGTGACTGCTAACGGGCTCAGGGTTTCTTTTTTGGATGATGAAAATGTTCTGGAATTAGATAGTGGTGACGGTTGCACAACTTTGTGAATTCACTGAAACCACTGCACTGTACCCTTTAAATGTCTGAATTTTATGGTATGTGAACTACATCTCATTAAACTGTTATAAAAAATTCTTGAGAACTCCAAATGATATGGGCTATATCTATTGATATTTACCATATTAGAAATTAACACTGAGAAAAAATTTTAATTGTCAATTCATCAAAAAATAATAAACCATGAGATGCTCACACATTTTATTTAAAAACTGTATTTTCAAAACAGAAACAGTGAGAATAATGGTATTGCTTTGCATTTTTACAAATCTATGTAATGTTTGGCTAAACAAAAGTCAGTTTCATATCTGACATTTCATTCAATCTTTTGTGATATGTAGATTTGTTAAAGAACATGAAGGACATCCAGACCCTCACAGATACATGCTATAGCTGGGAAAGGGTGGAGTATTTTAACAGCCTTCCCAGATAATTGTGGACACTCTTCTTTCAGACTGTACCCAAACTCAACAGATGGTAGTTTCTTAAAGATTAGTTCCAATGTGGCATTCATGCCAATGACCTTTTCACCTGTATATTTGTGAGAGAACTTGACCAAGTGTATTATTACTATTATTAAAATAGTTTTTACTTTGTGGACCCCCCGAAAGGCATTGGGAACCCCCAGAGATCCCTGGACCGTGGTTTGAGGACTGTTGTTCTAGACCAATGTCACCTATTTCTGTGATGACCAGCAGGGGGCAGCGTGCAGACTGCAGCTAACTGACCCACTCAGGGACCAAGCCCACTACCTTGAGCGCAGTGGGCTCTCTATTCCACTCGGCTGATCCAGGCACCCACTCCCCACTGTCAGCCACCTTGAGAGCGAGACCTGAGTTAACCTAGGCCCCAAAGAGTCGCGTGTGGAGCCCCCATGGCCAGGCCCAGGGCTGGGAGGGCTGCTGGTGCCACCAGCACCAAAGGCCTCCTCACATTTAAAGTCTTGACCTTCTCCCAAAGGAGACTCACATCCAGTCCAGGAAAAAAAAGGTGGGCTCAGAAATGACACGCTCATCAAACTTTAAACCGGTCCCATTTCAGCTACGACTTGTTTTTTTTTTTTTTTAGACTATGACTCTGCCTGTTTTTATTTTTTTTTTACATCTTTATTGGAGTATAATTGCTTTACAATGGTGTGTTAGTTTCTGCTTTGTAACAAAGTGAATCAGTTATACATATACATATGTTCCCATATCTCTTCCCTCTTGCGTCTCCCTCCCTCCCACCCTCCCTATCCCACCCCTCTAGGTGGTCACAAAGCACCGAGCTGATCTCCCTGTGCTATGCGGCTGCTTCCCGCTAGCTATCTATTTTACGTTTGGTAGTGTATATATGTCCATGCCACTCTCTCACTTTGTCACAGCTTACCCTTCCCCCTCCCCGTATCCTCAAGTCCATTCTCTAGTAGGTCTGTGTCTTTATTCCTTTCTTACCCCTAGGTTCTTCATGACATTTTTTCCCCTTAAATTCCATATATATGTGTTAGCATATGGTATTTGTCTTTCTCTTTCTGACTTACTTCACTCTGTATGCCAGACTCTAGGTCCATCCACCTCATTACAAATAGCTCAATTTCATTTCTTTTTATGGCTGAGTAATGTTCCATTGTATACATGTGCCACATCTTCATTATCCATTCATCCGATGATGGACAGTTAGGTTGTTTCCATCTCCTGGCTATTGTAAATAGAGCTGCAATGAACATTTTGGTACATGACTCTTCTTGAATTATGGTTTCCTCAGGGTATATGCCCAGTAGTGGGATTGCTGGGTCATATGGTAGTTCTAGTTTTAGTTTTTTAAGGAAACTCCATACAGTTCTCCATAGTGGTTGTACCAATTCACATTCCCACCAGCAGTGCAAGAGGGTTCCCTTTTCTCCACACCCTCTCCAGCATTTATTGTTTGTAGATTTTTTGATGATGGCCATTCTGACTGGTGTGAGATGATATCTCATTGTAGTTTTGATTCGCATTTCTCTAATGATTAATGATGTTGAGCATTCTTTCATGTGTTTGTTGGCAATCTGTATATCTTCTTTGGAGAAATGTCTATTTAGGTCTTCTGCCCATTTTTGGATTGGGTTGTTTATTTTTTTGTTATTGAGCTGCATGAGCTGCCTGTAAATTTTAGAGATTAATCCTTTGTCAGTTGATTCATTTGCAAATATTTTCTCCCATTCTGAGGGCTGTCTTTTGGTCTTGTTTATGGTTTCCTTTGCTGTGCAAAAGCTTTGAAGTTTCATTAGGTCCCATTTGTTTATTTTTGTTTTTATCTCCATTACTCTAGGAGATGGGTCAAGAAGGATCTTGCTGTGATTTATGTCATAGAGTGTTCTGCCTATGTTTTCCTCTAAGAGTTTGATAGTTTCTGGCCTTACATTTAGGTCTTTAATCCATTTTGAGCTTATTTTTGTGTATGGTGTTAGGGAGTGATCTAATCTCATACTTTTACATGTACCTGTCCAGTTTTCCCAGCACCACTTATTGAAGAGGCTGTCCTTTCTCCACTGTATATTCCTGCCACCTTTATCAACGATAAGGTGACTATATGTGCGTGGGTTTATCTCTGGGCTTTCTATCCTGTTCCATTGATCTATCTTTCTGTTTTTGTGCGAGTACCATACTGTCTTGATTACTGCAGCTTTGTAGTATAGTCTGAAGTCAGGGAGCCTGATTCCTCCAGCTCCGTTTTTCGTTCTCAAGATTGCTTTGGCTATTCGGGGTCTTTTGTGTTTCCATACAAATTGCGAAATTTTTTGTTCTAGTTCTGTGAGAAATGCCATTGGTAGTTTGATAGGGATTACAATGAATCTGTAGATTGCTTTGGGTAGTAGAGCCCTTTTCACAATGTTGATTCTTCCAATCCAAGAACATGGTGTATCTCTCCATCTATTTGTATCATCTTCAATTTCTTTCATCAGTGTCTTATAATTTTCTGCATACAGGTCTTTTGTCTCCTTAGGTAGGTTTATTCCTAGTTATTTTATTCTTTTTGTTGCGATGGTAAATGGGAGTGTTTTCTTGATCTCACTTTCAGGTTTTTCATCATTATAGGAATGCCAGAGATTTCTGTGCATTAATTTTGTATCCTGCTACTTTACCAAATTCACTGATTAGCTCTAGTAGTTTTCTGGTAGCATCTTTAGGATTCTCTATGTATAGTATCATGTCATCTGCAAACAGTGACAGCTTTACTTCTTCTTTTCCGATTTGGATTCCTTTTATTTCCTTTGCTTCTCTGACTGCTGTGCCTAAAACTTCCACAACTATGTCGAATAAGAGTGGTGAGAGTGGGCAACGTTGTCTTGTTCCTGATCTTAGTGGAAATGCTTTCAGTTTTTCACCATTGAGGATGATGTTGGCTGTGGGTTTGTCATATGTGGCCTTTATTATGTTGAGGAAAGTTCCCTCTATGCCTACTTTCTGCAGGGTTTTTATCATAAATGGGTGTTGAATTTTGTCGAAAGCTTTCTCTGCATCTATTGAGATGACCATATGGTTTTTCTCCTTCAATTTGTTAATGTGGTGTATCACATTGATTGATTTGCGTATATTGAAGAATCCTTGCATTCCTGGAATAAACCCCACTTGATCATGGTATATGATCCTTTTAATGTGCTGTTGGATTCTGTTTGCTAGTATTTTGTTGAGGATTTTTGCATCTATGTTCATCAGTGATATTGGCCTGTAGTTTTCTTTCTTTGTGACATCCTTGTCTGGTTTTGGTATCAGGGTGA